GGTGTTACAGCCACGCCCACCCCCTTGCAGGGGGGTGCAGCGCTCATCAGAGGCCCCGCATCCCATGGTGGCCCTACCACGAACAGCAAAACCACATTCAGCTGGGTGGGCCAGCCGGTGGTCCTTCTACGCCCAATATGCTGTTGATGGTCCAATCCTCGAGATCTTGCCATCATCGTCATCGCTCGGGTACGTCTAGCAGCCCCGTTGTGTGCCTCATCAGATCAGATCAGTGTCTACATTAGCCGTTATTCACTAGCTACGGGGCACACGCTCGCCCTCTTCGTCCCGCGTATGTCTGTACATAGCCCTTTTGCACGGTCTGCATAAACAGTATTATGCAGCCGTGCAGCTCACCGATTCTTCGTCCACTGCTACCGTGTCTGAGCCGTCCGCATTCTGCTACCAAATTCTGCAGAAGACCTAGAAAGAGCCGCATCACGGGGCTGTTCCGTATGCGTGAGCCATCTCAACCCCGCTCATCATCCCGTCCAACCACCGTAATCCTGTCCTAAATATTCTCGCTGAGATCTTCCAAGCTGCTGCCTCGAATCTTCGCTAGCACTCTCTCTTCTATGAGATGTGTGTCGCCGTCGATCTACCCTTCCATCCAATGCTGCGTGTTGTACTTTGGCGCCGAATCGATGTGAAGCCAACACCAGTTCTATCCACGCAATTGATCACACACGAACATCACACTCATCCTGCCCTTATACGTTCTCGGGTTTATAGATGTAAGGTACAGCTTGTTCTGTTAAGTTGTTTTAAAAGTTGTTTACCTTATCTTGTTGTTAAATATCCCACTTATTTACTGCTATCATTTTGTGCTAGTTATACCGGACGCAAAGTACATAGCGGATCGTATGTAAGCTGTCCTCAAACTTCCGGTCATACGGTGGACCAAATGGAGGCCCCCGGACGGTAGACGTACGATCCACAATGACTAGCGCTTATTATTTTCCGGAAGAAGGTTCTCTTCTTGGCTTCCAGCACCTGAGGTTAGGTCCGGGGTGAACGTCGTGAGTGCCGTCTTGCTCCCGATCATACGGTGGATCAATGGGAGTCCGAAAGGCCAGGACACGATCACCCCGTGACACCGTA